GTTTATCATTAGTATGCTATATATTACATTAAAAGTGAGACATTTCACGATTACATTTTCACGTCTCAAAAAGAAAATCAGCATACTAACTTATACAGTTTTTTTGCCAAAATGAGCCAAATTTCCATAGCTTTATTTTTTAACAAAAAGTGCATTCCTCCATTGTGTTTGCTGTAGTATGCTACGTATTACGTACAAAATTTAAAATTTCACGATAAAATTTTCACCTCAGGTTTGCCAAGAAAATCATCATACCTTCTTTGGCCAAAAAGCAAATTGGCATACTAGCCTATGCCGTTTATGAACAAAATTGTGTAAGGGTTTGGGTGAGGGTTAGGATTAGGGGTTAGGGTTAGTGGTTAGGGGTTAGGGCTAGGAGTTAGTGGTTGGGGGTTAGGGTTAAGGTAGTTAGGGTCCAGGTCGATGTTAAGGGTTAGGGTCATGGTTGGATTAGGGTTAGAGTTCAGGGTTAGTTGAGAGTTAGGCATTAGGGTTAGGGTCAAGTTCAGGGGGTTAGGGTTAAGGGTTAGTATGACAACTGCAGTGCCTCGGCACGATAACAGCAGCAGTGGCACTGTGTGGTGTCTTCACGGCTTCATTGCAGCCAACCGTACTTCGGACAAACGCCAGGACGCCACATCACCAGCGACTCACAACTACGAATTGATTGCTTGTGATACTGCACTTGTCCACCAGAGGGGACACGCAACACGTCAAGCACGGTAAAAATAATATTTAAAAACACTTTTTTTTAAACACGCTTTTATGAAATGTACGAGTAATGACAGAACTCCACGACTCCAGGAAGTGGCCCTGAAGCTTTCCAAAACGTAAGGGACCGTGGCCAATTACAGCCAATGTCAGTTGACCGTGGACAATTAGACCCAAGCCAAAACATAACATATAAAAAATATTGTTTAAAAATAAATAAAAAATTATGATAGAATATAGTATTTGTCATTAGTTTGACATAAGTATACCAAGTTTGCAGTCGATACCACATTGGGAAGTGGGTTAAAATTGAGTTACAAGATTTGAGGATACGACAACGACGACAACAACAACAGACAGAGTGAGTTAAAAGAAAGCTTGTAAAAACGAAACTATCCGGCCGATTTGCACTGCAATGCTTTATTTTTTTACGGATTTTCAAATAACAAACTACTGCATTGACATCCCAAGCTGTCCCATACATTTAGACCATTGAATATTTGGTGAACATCGGTGCTGAAATAGTGAAACGCACTGCATTCTCAAACAGTGCGCTTCAAATCGGCAACAATCACACCCATCATCGACTTCAATGCAAAAGCCACCCCGGTTCCACAAGTCACACAAGCAAGTGGTGTGTGCCCTTTGACTCTACTCGACAGTCGCGCCATATACGATTCAACTCATCTCGCTGAGACGCGTTTAAAGGCATATTTGAGGCATCTCACTTGCAACCCTAAGAAGTCCTAAATCCAAAGCAGGAGTCTCAATTCCAAATTTCGGAGTTCCGATTTTTCATGCGGGAATGTGAACACCAAGGAAGTGGTTGTGGGGCTCCCGGAAATGGAATAGGGACTCCCAAAATAATCCATTTACAGTACCCTGTTAGCCTAGTTAGGGTTATGGTAAACGGTTAGGGGTCAATGAGAAGTGAATTCCTCCATTGAATTGTGTCTTACAATGCTGTATATACAATAAAAACTGGGCAATTTAACATGCATATTTTTTTGGGTGAAAAAAATCGACATAGCAGTCAAATACACTAAATGCATGTGGAGGGAAAAAGCCACACGACCATGGGGAGAACATGCAAACTACGAACATACAGCAGGTGTGAGGGACGGGGTTCAACTTACGACTTCCTGTATACCAGGCAAGGTAGTTACATTCTTGCCACTGTGAATTCCTCCATTGACGTTAGTCTCACTACGTGATGGATGAAACAAAAACTGTAAAATTAAAGGTACTACGTGTTTTTTTGCAAAAAATAGCCACATTTTTGACTTGCAACTTTTTTAATTAGAAGCTCATTCCTCCAATGCCTTTAGTCATACTATGCTATATATGAAATGAAATTTGGTGATTATACAAATACAGTGATACCTCGGTTCACGAACTTAATTCGTGAACTGACTCTGGTCGCGAACCGAATTGGTCGTGAACCGAGGCACATTTTCCCATAGGGTTCAATGTAAATCCGGTTAATCCGTTCTGACCTTTTTTTTGGTTTTTGAAGCACATAAATATGAAACAAATTACAATACACATTAGTACTGTACAGTATAGTAATGTATAAAGAGAGAACACTAACCTTGCTTGAGATGACTTCTGGCATGGAGGAAGGCAGGTGGGAGGCGGTTATTGTTTGGAGGGAGAGTCCCCCTCCATAAGGACATCAGGGGGATCTCCTTCAGGGGTTTCCTCTCTCCTTTGTCTCCTAGCTGCAGGCTCAATTTTGCTGAAAAATCTGTCCAATGTCAATGTCTCTTCCTGCGCTGCATAACCCTCCAGGAAATGAGAGACCACATTATCATTCATGAGATTTAACACTCTGTTCGTGACAGTTATGTTGGGGTGGTGCTTTTCAAAAAAGTCATGGCACTCATTCCATTTTTGCATAATGGATTTCATGGCATCACTGCTAACCTCCTCCCTTTCTTCCTCTGTTGACTTTGCCATCTTGTACTCTGAGGCCAGATCAGTCACACGAATACCACTGTCATGCTTTTCTACAATTTCCTTCTTCAGCTCAATGGTTATTTTCTTCACAACGGGTAGACATAATAATTCTCACGACGTTTGGGCCACAACGCAAGCAGCCGTCCTCAGGTGAAGACCAGGTCTGTCTCCCCTCAGGTGAAGACTAGGTCTGTCTCCCCGACAGACCTAGTCTTCACCTGAGGACGGCTGCTTGCGTTGTGGCCGAAACATCGTGAGAATTATTTTATTATGTTTTATTTTTATTATTTTATTACTTCCCTTCTACGTGACTTTACCGGAAGAACCAAGAAGATGAATCCCTGCAGTCACGAAAGCTTTAAATCGAAAAATTGTTCTAGGTTGCTCACTATGTTGCGTGTCTGTTCCCTCTCTTGATCCCCGAACGAGCCCCGAATCCCCCTCGCGCTCCCCCTTCATCCCTTTGCCCCGGCCCCGCCCCTTGCTGTATCAAGGACGGCACCTCCGCTTCAGGTCACGTGCCCTCGACCATGTGGATTACCAGCTCGTTCATGTGGATTACCAGCTCGTTCATGTGAATTACCAGCTCGTGTTGTGGATTACCAGCTCGTTCATGTGTTTTACCAGCTCATTCATGTGGATTACCAGCTCGTTCATATGGATTACCAGCTCGACCATGTGGATTAGCGGCTCGTTCATGTGCATTACCAGCTCGTTCATGTGCATTACCAGCTCGACCATGTGGATTACCAGCTCGTTCATGTGCATTACCAGCTCGTTCATGTGGATTACCAGCTCGACCATGTGGATTACCAGCTCGTTCATGTGGATTACCAGCTCGTTCATGTGCATTACCAGCTCGTTCATGTGCATTACCAGCTCGTTCATGTGCATTACCAGCTCGTTCATGTGCATTACCAGCTCGTTCATGTGCATTACCAGCTCGACCATGTGGATTACCAGCTCGTTCATGTGGATTACCAGCTCGACCATGTGGATTACCAGCTCGTTCATGTGCATTACCAGCTCGTTCATGTGGATTACCAGCTCGACCATGTGGATTACCAGCTCGTTCATGTGGATTACCAGCTCGTTCATGTGCATTACCAGTTCGTTCATGTGGATTACCAGCTCATTCATGTGCATTGCCAGCTCGTTCATGTGCATTACCAGCTCGACCATGTGGATTACCAGCTCGTTCATGTGGATTACCAGCTCGTTCATGTGGATTACCAGCTCGTGTTGTGGATTACCAGCTCGTTCATATGGATTACCAGCTCGTCAAGGTGGATTCCCAGCCCCTCAAGGTGAGTTACCAGCTCATTCGGTAGAAATGTTTTTGCAAACACAAAGTTACGAGGCCTATCTTGTGTTTAGAGTTAGTGTAATAGCTAGACTCGTAGAACTTTGCTTTTGTAAGCAAAACATTTAAGCAATTTTAAGCGCAAAATCCTCAGATTGTTTTTCATTGTAATGAGGCGAGGAGGAGGCTGTAACACATCCCCAAGAGAGATGAAGTTTAAAATCGCGCGTCAACACGTGTTTAGATTGCGGCCTGTGTGTTGATTATCGGCAGCCTGCATGTAATTTAGGCGAGTCCATGCTCGTTCAATATAGATTTTTTGCGAGGTTATGAGGTGCAAAGTTGACAATTTGTCAATA